TCCGTCTCCAAGTAAGAGGTAGGTTAACTCCTCTTTTTACCATTTCCTGCAACTCTGGATGTAACAATACCAATTGCTGCTCTCTCTTTATCATTTGTGAAAATTGCTGACCGCTTAAGCAGTCCTAGGTGCCCTTTTCTGCTTTGCCGGCTGTAGCCTCGGGCATATCCCATTTCTAATCGTCCACCTACCACGCCTCTTCTTGTCTCCGCCTTCACGGTTCCCGCCCAGCAACTCTTTGATCAGTTTAATCTGTTGACTCCCTTTTTCTGCCTTTCAGCACCGGACAAGCCGGTGAACGTGCGCGTGCTGCTGCCCTTGGCGTCACAGGACAACAGTTCAGCAGCGGCGTCGAGGCTGATTGTGGTGCGGGAGGGTGACAATGTCACTCTCTTCTGCATCATGGAGGGTGCGCCGCCGCCTGAGGTGCAAACCTATCCGCACAACACACAGAACGGTCGATACATCATGGATCAGGACTTTGGTACGTGAAACTGTTTGCTGGTCTGCTAGTCCGCAATCCGAGCCTTTTGTGGTGTGCACTTCTTTGGAGTCACTAAGATCCTGGAGATCGATCTCCAGGAATTGAATTTCGGTGGCTATATCGGTGGGGATGTCGGAAGGCCTTCCATAGCTTTGTGGAACTGCAAAAATCAGCTGGCGCCTAGAGCATGAATAGCATCTTGATTTCAGAGGACTCTGTGATGTTTCCAGTGGCTGCAGGCTTTTCCGATTCGTAACTCTCCACAATGCAGCCGCGGAAGAGAAGATGGCTATCACGTTTCAGATGTGTGATTGGGAGGCAGACGTCTTCGTTGCTATGAGCCACTTCCGTGTCCTTCAAGAAATTACCTTCTGGAGTCAATGCTTCCGACCCAAGTCTGTAGATTCAGGTTCTACTGTAGAGGAAGAAGAAATCAGTGAACTCCCCCTCTCCTTGGTGGGGGTGGAGTTCCCAATGGGGTTCTCAGAGTACTAGCCTTCTCAATGCTAGCAGACATGAACGGGCCCTTGAGGTGATGGACCTCTTAAAGGGGCTCTAAGGAGCTTGAAAGTGTAAGCGGCTTTTCCCGGCTGAAGGGCAGGCTGGCTGGCGCCGATGCATGAGGATGAAGGATGTGGACTGTCCACCACGCTTGGGTTATTCATCCCGTGGGAGAAAGAGCAGGATCCTGCTGAAACAAACTTCTTCAACCGTCTGCCGCATTGTCATTCCTAGGACAGTAGATTTCCAACCCTTATGGACGGGAAGGTGGAGGTTAATTGAGTATTGCTGTGGCAGGAACTCCATCCACTTCCATGCTTCTAGGCGTCCCCCAGCTGTATAGTCCCCCATATATTTATGTCAGCTATGTCCACTTATCTTTTCCCTTCGTTTTGCAACAGGTCTTCTTCACCTGGTGAATGTTCAGCCCTCGGATGAAGGTGTCTTTCTCTGTTCCACGGCACATTTGAGTCTTACGGCGACGTTGAAGGTGAAACGTAAGTTCTCCTCCACTTTGCTTGCGATCACGATTTGACGGGGCAGAAGGTCCCTTCTCTTGAGGTAGCGTGGAAAATCGGTGTGGGTTTCGATAATGAAAACCACTACCAAACTAGGTGGATGTGACAGTAGTCTTCGATGCCCAACGATCACTTTGAGCTATGGGGATGCGATTGCGGGTCGCACTCGAGATTTCAAATGGAGAGGTTTCTGGATATTGGGGTTTTGATTCCCTCTATGGGTTTGACATGGGGCGGGGTTACTATGACCTCGGTCAACTGTCCACATTCGAAATCGTTGGAGAGAAGAGCATGTTACCACCTAGAATTATAAAAGTGATCTCCCTCCCCCTCCCCCTCCTAGACGACTGTGATGCAGAAGTTGGGGGAGTTTGGATGCGGACCTTTTAGGGTCTCACCCGACATTCTCTTACTTTAAGCTCGTCTTCGGTTGGCCACATCACCAGTCGACATTCGCATTGCCTCTCTTGGCAAACGGGCGGAGTTCCGCTGTTCTACCTCTGATAACAGCGTTAAACCGTTCTGGCTCTTCAATGGCAATCCAATCTACACACCCGACCGTGAGTTGCGTCTACTTATTTCCCTAGTTAGTAGCACTCTTGCCCTCTAATTTGTTTTTTTTTTTGCATTCCCGTACCGTGCTGTCGTTGTCACTGAAAGAGTGTGTAGGAAGTCCTGACCATCCTAAGGCGGTGGTTATTCAACAGGATGCGGATGACCTCCTAGATGAGTCACACGCCAGTTCTATCGTGGTAGTGGGTCATGCCACTGGCCTCCAAACCGCTGATAAAGCCTCCTCTGACAGATCGCTTGAATGCCTTCAGGAATAGCTCAAATCTGTGGGAATTTTCCATCTAACCTTCCAACCCCTCTCCCTTTGCAGCCCAAGTGTTGGTCATTGGTTCGGTGCAGGAGTCGGATCTGGGCCTTTACCAGTGCATAGCTCGAACCCTCACCCCGGATGGCCGAACCGACGAATGGGTCTCGGCCACTGCTCCTCTGGCGCTCTACTTTGACAAAGTTGTTACCAAGGGTAGGCTTTTGGCGCATCTTGGCTAGATTATTTGTACAAGGTGGCAGGAGGTAATGACTCACCCCATCTCCCCTCCTACCTTGTAGCTGCAGACCTGGTGGAATTCATTCCAAGCGTTCACAGGACACCGAGCCATCGGGAAGGTGAGTCCTGGGAATGTTTGCCTTAAAGTTGTGTCCTCTTCTGGGCTCAGTGCCACTTGATGGGAACAGCTACCAGCGTTCCAGTCCTGCATTTCAAGGCGGTAGCTCCGCTCCCAGCCTGAATAGTTCTTTAGGCAAAAGGAGAAGGGAGAACCTCCAGTCATTAATTTTCCTTCTGCCAAAAAGGCAAGATGCGTAATCGCTTTTTCCCATCCTTGTGTTGCAGCCCTTGCGACGACGAAAGAGATGACGCCACTGGTGGAAATGGCGCTGGATAACTTCGCCGTCTACCTGACGTGGAATGTGAGCGATGCGACGCTCTATCCCGGTTTCCGTCACGATAACAATCTACCTCTGGTGCCGCCGTCACCCACACAATTGCAATCGCAACAAATCGCCTTCCAGATTGACTACTCGAGTCTGGTGAGGCAATCGGTGTTGAATCCAGCCTTGGTGGGCTTGATTCCACCAGAACCCGCAGTTTGGTCGAAGACGGAGAGGTTAAACAAAATGGTAAGTCCGAGTCTTCTTGCCATCTACGCCGTTGTGCGTCTCTCCTTCGTCTGGCCACTTCAAATCCGTCCGTCCATCCATTCATCCATCCCTTCCACAGCAGTCACCGTCCATCTGCTTTGTTTTTCGTTTTAGTGGAAGCATAAATACGGCTTCGTGATTGGTGCGCCTCTTGAACCTGGCAACACTTATCGCTTCCGTGTGAGAGCCGTCTCCATGGAGACGGGAATGGACGTGATTCCGCCCTCGGATTGGTCTGATCCCGTTAGCACGCACCACATCAGCAAAGCGGCGCCACCAAGAATCACCTCCGTCCAACCCTATGTAAGCTCTTTCATCTGTTCTGTGAATAATGTCACGTCCGCATGCAGTTCCGTGATCAACTGGAAGGTCTTATATGCCTCACCTTCAGGTAATCTTTCTTTGTTAAAAAGTCCTGGTGGTGGATCCTGGCCAGATCCACGTTACACCCTTCCAGGTGTTTCTGTGTATCCATGCCTTAGAATGCCTACTTCAGTTTAAATTATCCTCTCTAAGTGTAGTTTTAAGACTCCTGGAGATTTGGGCCGTCAAAGAAGGGATTATTCCGAAGAAGAAGAGGGGAAGGGGTTGTTGTGGAAGGGAGTTTGAGCGAGAGGTTATATGTGACTAGTAGAGGCTGCTTTTGAGTACCTTGCATCCAAATGGATCTGCTCCTGCCTCTAGGCTGCGTTCCAAGTCAACTTTTCATCCAACTGGATACTTCACCGTGCTCACCGTTTCTTCTTTTTTCTGTCCTTCCAGCACGATGGTCGGTTTAATGTGACGTGGGAGTTCGACGGCGACGTTGGCAATCAGTCGACCGAGGAGGAGTCTTTCATTCCTGACTTCTTTCTCATTCTTGCACGCCCGGTACTGCACTCTCCGTCTCAGTCGTCGACACCAGGAGTGACTTCAACGAATGCCGACGCGGAGGATGTGGAGCAGGGGGCGGGCAGTGAGGTGACAACGAAAAATGATTCTGTGGTGCGCTATGGACGATATCGGGCTACTCAAGTCAATGGGTCAGACGCGAGGGTGAGAAATGTTCGTTTGGCTGTTATATTCCCGTATTCTTAGATTGATCCATCCATCTATCCACTTATCTCACCCTTCCTCCCGTATCCGTCTATTCGTCCATCCACGCACCCACCTGCCCACCCACCTATCGCGCCTTTGATCAACCCAACCACTCTCATCTCATGATCCTAAAGTCTTCTCTTTTATCCATTCTTCCCACCTCGAACTAAGCACTCAGTTGTTTAACGAGAGCTTTGAAAATGGCCGACCTTGACGTTGCTGCTTTTTTTGCCATCCAACCAATAGGAGGCTTTCATCTACAACCTCAACGCGTCAATCAGCTATCAGCTGGTTGTCTACGGCGTGAAGTATGAGAATGGTGCTCGTCGAATCACCCGATTTTCGGAGGCCAAATTTGCTACCCTACCTGAGGTAACGTTAACTTTTCCTGTCGCCTCCTGTAATTTCCTTGTTACAATACTCGGGGTGCTACTCACGTACAATTAGTAGTATGATACTTTAAATTATTTCGCTACTAAATAAAACTACTTGAGAGGAGTTAATGGGAAATTTGTCGGTTCCATCTTAAAAGTACGCCTAAGTGACTTCTTGTACAGTTCGTGAGATGCCTATTCCTCTCTCAACAGCTCCGCAAGTACACACTACTTAATCCTACATTTGAGCATCCGCATTTTTGTTTTTTCGTTGTCTCCTTCCCAGGTGCCTGGCTTTGGAACATTCAGTTTTATTCGCGCGGTGACTGAAAACAAACCGATTTTCATCGGATTGGGTGTTCTGGCGCTCATTATCTTCCTCGTCGTGATGGTGCTTGTTATCATGTGCATTGCTAGGCAACGCAAGTATCGCCGTAGACGACGCGTAAAGCACAGTAAGTGGATTGATGGACAAGTTAACGAATAGATAGGGTCGAACAAGGGGACCGGTGGAAGGCTAGATCGTACACCAGGCCACTAGAGACAGACGGAGGGGTAGGCAGGTTAACTCACTCCACTCCTCCTTCCTCTTCTCAGACGGTTTCCTCACTGGTCACAATAACTCCGAGAAGTACCAAACCCAATCCCAACAACATCAGCAGCATTCGCAACAACTGAATCACCAGTCCTCCACCGACCTCCGGACCACCTCTCCCTCGGTCAAGGCTGCACAAGCCGCCCAGGTGCAGGCTCAGGGCCAGGCTATGCTCATGGGCACCTTGATGCGGCAGTCCAATTTCTCCGAGCCACCCGGTCACCCGCATCAGCAGTTCACCCAACAACAAGCCGCCTACATGGGCTCCCTTATGCACCTGGGTTACTACGGCAGTCATCATCCACAGCATCACCACCAATCACATCATTCCCTACTGCTTCCAGCCACGCCTGCACCTGGAATGATGGGTAGTCCCATGTTCCATAGCGGGACACTGCCGCCGGGAATGCGGGGTGGTGGGATGATGCATCCGCAGCAGCCACAGTCGCATCATCACCTGCAGTCGCCTCCACCTCCACCACCACCAGCACAGTTGGGAGGGTTTGGAAGTCAGCAGGTGTTGAATCAGATGGATGGAATGGAACAGGCAACGCTCATGCGGGACTACTATCAGCAGCAACAACACCAACAGCAGTTCTATCAGCAGCATCTGTTGAACCAGCAACAGGGTCAGCAGGCATCGTTTATGGTAAGTGGACTCGTGGGTGGCATCGTCTGAAGATATGGGTGGTGCCACTGCTGTTGTAGTGTCACCTGCCATCTTGATAGTGAATGTTTGTAGGTGGGCAAACGGGCAAACAGACAGTTTTGTATTTTGTCTTATCCTCCCTAGCAATACGCACCAAACAGCCCACCCGCCTATCTGCCACCGCAACAGCAGCAACAACAGATGATGGATAGCCTGTCATCAAGGCAGCATAGTCAGAGTTATGCCTATGGCGGGAGTATTCACTCCGGTGCCTCGGTGAAACGCGATCCCAACGGATCCATACATGAAGACTGTAAGTCTACTTATTACATTATCAGTAGCAGTAGTGAAAGTAGTCTTAATAAACATTCCTGTCATGTATTTTGCCATCAATGCAATAGTTGATATACTTGTCCGCGGTTTTCATCGATTCGGACGCGCTTTTGCTCACCTCCTCCTTCCTCCCATTTAGCAACACTCCTGGCACGAAGTCCGATGAGTCCACATCCACCGCCAATGCTGGGGGACCAGATTCCACCACCGGGCTACTTCCAGACACCCATGTATGCGCAGCAGCATCCGCTCATGTCACCGCCTCCACCGCCAATGCAAATGTCCGGAGCTGCCTACTACCCGGGACAGCCGCAAGCTGATCCTGCCCAGATGGCGTGAGTGTGGCAACAGTTTCTCTTTCGACTATAAATCCACTTTACCTTTTCTTTCTCATCCGAATGCGAGTTATTGTTTGCTCTTATTTCCCTCTTTGTTGTGATTGTAGTCTTCACAATATGGGCCACCACACGGACGGTGAGTCAATTTACTCCTACTTCTCGCAACAGGATGTCTGCCATCCCCAGCCACATGCCCTTCTGAATCCCCTACCGGAGGAGAATCAGGTGCGTGGCATCCTCCTCAATCGCGTGTAATGCCGCGCAAAAACTTGTCCCTACCATCCTCTCACAATTGTAGATGAATCTCGGTTACGCCGAGTCGGGAAGCCAAACGGCTGGACTGAACGGAACCAGCGGGACAGCAAGTCCCCCCGCAGTTGGTGGTGGCACGGCAGGCGGACACAGGCACCACCGTAGACGTCGCAGAAAGCAGCAGCAACAGCAGTCTCAATCCTCGGTGCAACAATTTAGCGGTGGTGGAGAGGGTGACGGATTCCAGGTAGTGCGGTCTTTCCTCCCCCTGCTTCTAACCACCGTCAGAAATTGACGCCTCTCTAAGGTGTTGTTGGTCCCCGTGTTTTAGTTTCCGGGTCACACTAGCGAGCAGATCGCCATGATGACAATGATGGAGGCTCAGGGTCGCGTGGCACCGAACGGAATGAATGGAACGACGCCACCGTCTGCAGCGGGTCTTGAACAGTCAGGTGGCAATGAAGCTGTGAATCAGATGGAAAATCCACGTTCTGGAAATCAGTCGTTTGATCGGAGCACACCGTCCTATGGAGGTTGGTCCACAGCCTTGACGACCATTTTCACGCACGCCTCCTGGATTGTCAGCCTCTCTCTCTCCTCACCTCATTTCAGCCTCGCCTGGAGTAGGTGTTCGTTCGTCTCTCCCACCGCCCAGTCAGCCGCCACCTCCACCACCCGCCGCAATGATGATGCTACCCATGCAAATGACCTCACCCGGTGGCCTTGACAGTGCCGGTGTGGCTATCGGCAACCCGAATGCGGCCAGCAGTAGCAGTCTGAACCGTCGCGGTGGTGTTAGTGGAGTGCTAAGTGGCGCTCCGCCCCGAATTCGTGACTACTCGGAGTATGGAATTCCCACCTCAACACCCAACGCGGGCGGAATTGGTAGCCCACCTCACCCACAAGGCGTGGTTGCTATGCCCACACCAACGCCGCCTTCAGCATCCGGTGGTGGTGGTGGGAAGCAGATTCCAGCTTCCCAGACAACGGGATTCAACAACAACAACAACGGCAACAAGTCTACTTCCAGCGGTGGTGGCGGGAGCATGAGATATAGGGAGGGCCAGGCGTAGGGGCCCTTTTTACCTCGGGTGCTGTCATTGTTTGTCCGTCTGTTTGTTGGTTGGTTTGATTGGTTGTTTTAAATAACTGTCTATCCCTAGCAAATTTGCTCTCTTTCCTCCTCCTTCCACCTCCAGTCACACCCACACACACGCACACACATACATACACGCGAAAATTGTTTCAAATTGTCGCTTGCAATGTCACTCGCCCACTCACTCACCCACTCAGTCAGTCACTGTTTTCCTCCTCCGCTATGCCCCCTCGCAATGCATGCTTTGACACGCAGACAAACACACAAGGTGAAATTTAAATGAAGCCTTGTGACTGGTGACGCGTTACTTATATATATACATATAAACCTTCTATACAAACATTATTACTAAATGTATTTGCATAACTACTCAGCCAGCACAGATTTGTCCTCTTTTACTTATTAGTCCATCAGTAGTATGCGCCGTTTGCTAAGTATGCCTGGTTGGCTGATAGGTAGTGTGTTGACCTCTCAGGCAGAAGCTTTAGTCAGTACGCAATGGCAACTGATGTGTCGG